AGTTACAGTGGTGACAGAGGCGGGCTGACTCCACGCCCCCCTGTACCACGGCATTACAGCGGCGGCAGCAGCGGGAGGGATACCTCCATTCCCCCCTGCGCCGCTAGGGCATTACAGTCCAAAAAGTTCAGCCATTGTCGTAATCGAGATTCGAAAAGAGAACCTCCCGAATACAAGGTTAAAAGCTTTACCTACAGACCAGATTTTAACAAATTTCTTTTCCGACCCACGTCCCCTGAAATCCTTTCGAGTACTCAGCAGACTTTGGGAAACAGTGTTCTTGTTCGATCAGGAAAAATTACTCCTGTAAATACATTTTTGGCGCTGCGCCTCTCCCCCAGGGAAGAGTGTCCAGGCGGGTCATATATCCATTATTGACACACCGCAAACTGTCAAACATCGAGAGAGAGGGAGAGAGAGAAAGATAAGCAAGGAAGAACTGCGAGGATATCACACCCCGTACCGCTGAGAAATTCACAATGACGAGGGATAGGTAAAGTTTTCCCTGTGCATAAGAAATCAAGTATGACGCCATGAAGACGTATGAGGGAGTGGAGGTATAACTCCACAATTCTTGACCTCGACACTAGATGGAGATGAGTGGTCAGCTTCACGCCCCGTCCGCTTTACCCCCCGGTAAAAGAGCCTCCGGTAGCCATTAGATAAGAGGCTGGATGGACCCCAGAGCCAGTCTGAACGCTGTGGATCAGAGAAAAATGTCTCGCCCTGCCGAGAATTGAACCCCGGCCGTCCATCCCGTAGCCCGTCGGTATATCCCGAGGGATAGATGAATATCATAACATCTTCCTAGCCTATTTGAAGTAAGGCGTAGAATACAGACCGACATTTTCGCCATCAGCACTACCAACACGGCGGCCATGCACTCTTCTGAGGTGAGAGTGGCACTACTAGAACTGGATGTAGGGTCCTGAAGTTTGATATGATAGCAGAGCATGCAGAAATTTGCGACTTTTGTTACGGCATTTCCATGTAGGATCTAAATCAACATGGCCTCCTCACAACATCTGTGTTTGCATGTCCGTTTGACAGCAACACATTATATGCATATTTTATGCATGCCTGTTCTCTCTGTTAAGTAACTAAATTACTTCTTGGAGCAGAGTCCTTCTTATAAACTAATATTTGCTCAGCCACTCAAGAAATTCCAAGCATTTATGGAATCCGACAGTTTATTACCGTGTTCAAAAAGCCCCATAATTTGTCCATATTCTAAGCCAGATGATCCCAGTCTTAATTGTCCCGTCGTATTTATACAAGATCCTCTATAATATTATCATCCCTTCCAATTATAGTTCTTCTTAATGGTTCTTTCCTTCAGGTTTCCCTACCAAAACTTTGAATCCGCTTATATTATCTCCTATGCATGTTACATGTCCTGTCCATCTCATCTTCTCAGCTTTTATCATCCTAGTAGTATTTGAAGAGATCAAATTACGGAGCTCCCCGTTATGCGGGTCCATTGGAGCTTCAAGCCAAATTCAAGTCACATTCACTGGAATTGTTTTGAAAGTATAAAGCTGACTTTATTTGTAAACTAAATGGAAACAGGGACTGAATAAGAAATTTAAATTAAATTAAGTTATATTTTTAGCCACATTTCCTGCAAGACGTAATTTTTATACTGCTGTGACTTATTCTCCAGAGCTTCATTTGTGAAAGTGAGTTGCGTTATGTGAAAGTGAGAGTGTCATTTGAATAGAGTCACGTGGTTGTGACTAGACACGGGATTTGGACTGATATTTGGATTTATTGAAGAGTTATAACTTGTAACTATAAATAATTATAGCACTTTCACTAATTTACACACTTTAAAAATAACTATAGCTCACGCTAAGTCTCAGTCTGTTATAGTCTTCAGTACTAGTTGCTAGGTAGCGGCTTTCAACATTGGATATTCCTCTGCCTCCCTGCTCGCATCCTTATCAGCTGACGATTGTCTCACGACTAACAACGACTAACTTCGGCCGGTCTCTCGGTTAAAGTGCAGCTAGTCCTCGGCAGCACAGTATTCTGTTTTCTGGGCCCAGTCGGGTCCCATGACCATGTATTTCTTTAAAAACTTTTTCGAGTTTTGAAACGGGGCCTCCACTTCAAGGAGAGAAGGAGTATGACTACTCCTGGTCACTCCCCTTTTACTTGGGACACGAGAGGCCACTCGCTCACTAACTGGCACTCTCCTCCACAGAGTCAGAGTCAGAGTTACTTTAGGACTGGCGATTTACCTCCAGTCAGTTCGTCTTGGCGCCAAGCCCATTGAGACCCATGACCAGTATTTTTTTTTCGACTGAACACTTTCGGTTGTATTCCTTATGTAACATTCTCTCTGACGACAGGATGGGTCTCTCGTTTACAATTGCTGCTGGCCCTCGCCAGTGCAGTCATTCCCAGCTCCGAATCCCACGCTACTAATGACCACATTTTACTGTCTCAGATTCGAGACTCCTCCAACTTGGAGGGCCAGCTCTCCGTATTTATATCCCCCAGGCACTGGATTCCCTTTTCAACGCCTCCTACAACGCGCAGGGCTGCAGTGGAGTTATTCGACCCCGCCACCACACAGGTGTCTTATCCACACACACACACACACACACACACACACACACAAACACCTCGGCACGAACCGTATGGAAAACACGGTTTCCAGCAGTTATTGCTTGCTAGCAATTCAACCATTGAACTGCCTTCTGAATTCTCTTGTGACTGAATCTCTCACTGCTGTCTGGATCTCGGACTCGTCTCTGCTACATTGATCTCTCTACTACTACTACTACTACTACTACTACTTGAATTCACGAACCCACTGCCTTTTATGACTGTCACGCGGCCCTAATAGAAGACACCACGTAGAGCAGTTAATTGTCATATGTTGTCTTGTTGGTTGTAACAGGAACGTGATATATGGCCGTTGTTCAGCAACGGACGTCTGGCTGTCTCTGGCTGCACTATTCCGGCTTTCTGCCGTCACGTCACAATACTTTTGTAAATCGCACTATTACAAATTCGCATAAAATTCGACCGCACTGCATACCAAAATGGCTTATGATCCAAATTGATGTGAACAATTTCTTGATTGTAGGTTTATGGTGGCAATATCGGTGATCGTTAGGTGTCCGGGCAGAGCAATTCCAACTTGACGCAAGATCCTCCATGCATTTCTGGATTGACAAGCGGAGCCAGACGTGTGGTTTCAGTGGGCGTCATCGCGTGCCAGCCTCGTTGTCGGCAGGAAGTTGTGGACACCACCAAAGGAGACAACGCAGGCTATCGCGAGGGAAACCCATGGTAACACCAGTGCACAGATTCCAGCCTATTGAATCTGTGGCGGGTGGCGGTGGAGGCTTCGGGGGCCAGCATGGTCCTCGCAGATTCCAGCAGCATCACCTACAGCCTCACCACCACAATCATCGTCAGCACCAACATTATTTCCCACCTGCATACAGGTTCTGTAAACTCAGGAGTCCCTTGAACAGCGTACTGTAATACCTTTACGTGAACAACAGTAGCATTTTTTGTGTATCATACTGTAATACCATTGTTGGAACAGTCGGAGTATGGGCTGGATGGTCAGGGTTCGATTGTAGGCAGGAGAAACAAATTTTTCTGTGCTCTACAGCGTCCAGACTGGCCCCCCCATACAACAGATACCAGGGTCTCTATCACCGGCTAAAGTGGCCGGGGCGTGAAGCTGACCGCTCACCTCTATCTAATGCTAAAGTCAGGAATGGTGGCGCTATACCTGCACTCCCGCACACATCTTCATGGCATGGTGCTTAATTAATTAAACACAGAGACAACTTTACTTTTAATATGAACTCTTGCATGGCATGATGTAGTACTTTTACCTGAGCTGCAATAGAATATCTTGGTTGTATATTTAGCAACTTAGTACTCTTACGTGAGCAGCTAGGCAAGGGCTCAGTAAACACATTTCCTGGGTAAGACAGTTAACTATAGAATTCCGGTTGTTTGGTATCAAACATCCCTTGAAGGTGCTGATCTCTATTTGGTTCTCCTGAAGCTGTGAGGGGGATCAGAACAGGCAAAATGACACACAGGCAGCACACAGAGAGCAGATAGACCAAGGCAGTTCAGAAGATGCTTGTGGTCCATCAAGGAATAGAGCGCGTCGTAGACAGTCACTGATAGTAAGCTGTCAGAATTTAGTGTAATTGTAAAGGAACACCAATAAATCCATTCATCCAACCTAGAACCCATTATTTTTGCTATGCATCCCCCCCCCCAAAAAAAAACATGACAATATGTTTACTAACATCTCTATTTATAAAGGGTGTAAATAAATATATGTTACAAAGCTCTGGGGTAGACAGATGGGTTCAGTCTGATCATATTTTGGTAATACACCCATGTCTGGAAACAATTCCTTTCAGCACAAAGGGTCACAAAAATTTCAGAGAGGTTGCATAAGTTTTAAGGAATGTTATCGTTATTTTACATTATAAAAGTTGCTCAAAATGGCGCTGCCAAATTCATTGCATGTTCTGCTCCACCTGGCTATGTTATGCTGAACTCTTTGAAAGATTTCTGGCATTTCCTGGATGGTTCCAGCTACTACTGCAATTCTTGCCACAAGATCAGATTGCCTCTCCACTGGAGTCTGTACACCAGACTTTGTATATATCCCCAGAGAAAGAAATCCAGGGAAGCGAGGGGCCAGGTTATTGGGTCTCCATGTTCAATCCATCTGTTGCCAAAGGTTTGATCCAAATACTCAGACGACATTAGTGCAGTGTGCTGGGGTGCCATCATGCTGGAACCACATTTCATGACGGACTTCCAAAGGCACCACTTTCAGCAGCTCAGGGAAGGTCTCTTGGAGAAATGTGAGGTAAATATCACGAGTAAGCCACAGAGGTAAGAGGTAAGGGCATCCTCCTTCACATTTCAGAGGCCCTAGTGAGTAAACAAAGCGTTTCCAGATATAGGTGTATTAACAAAATATGATCAGATTGAACCCATCTATCTACCGCAGAATTTTGTAACATATATTTATTAACACTCTGTATAGTGAAACCTTGTATAACCATATAGGTATGTTGGTGTTGACAGTGGGGTGCGCCCAACAGGAGCTCATGTGGTGGAGTTTGACAGCAGTGTGTACCTGGACCCCATAGATGGTGTTGGAGACACTAATGCTCCAAACAATAATCATCAACTGGAGCCGCAGTTGATGACTGTTGGGTGTATGAAATGTGGGATGTGGACTTCCTTTGCACTTGGAGCATTATTTATAGGTGGTGCCAAGTTCTACTTAGATGAACAGGTAAGAGATTTCTAACAGTTTACTTATAGCATGTGTTTTGCATCAAATAAAAACCTGGAAAACTTACATTGTTTTTGAGTTGGGTGTTCATTAACCTTTAACGTCCAAAGTGCACTGATCGAAACAGTGATGACTATGGTTGAAGTGTCCAAACTACACCAATTTGTGCAGTTGGGCATTTAAACTCCTCTAGTGGAAGCACGCGCACACTCTGCTAGAAGAAGTGAATGCCCAATCCTATATATTTAGTTTTGAATAGAGTAAAATTCTGTGTACATACCATTTTGTAGTTATCTGTTTGACATATATACAGGGTTCACCCCTCCCCCCACGTCACATATCTCGCACTTCAGTTGCCTTTCAATTTCATCATCTCCCAAACAACACATCATTGCCATTTTATGACGATATGAAACTACAATATTCGAATTCACCATGAACTCTCAGAAAACTGGATGCACTCTGCATCTCAGCTACATTGCATGTGTTTGTTTATGACTTTAGAAAGGGCAATATTTTATCTGAAATGCAGTGGAAGGGCTTGGCACTGAAGAAAGGAAAAAAGACGCTGTAACGTTTCTTGAACTGCAGTGTTCTCACTTTTCTGTCCTTTAGTCAAAGGACTCGAATGTCTGAAGAGAGCAGCAAAGATGTGAAACTTGCCAGCAGAGAACCAAAAGATTTTATTGCTTTCAGCTGCTTATGGTACCAGAGAATGTGAAAATATTTCAAGTGCTAGAATCAGGAATGATTTTATAGTGTAGAACTACTTTATGAAGAAGCAGGGTACAATTACAAATAGAGTATAACTTCTTTTCTTGGGGCCGCGCCATAGCTCAAGTGGTTAGTCGCTGGCTTCCCAACGCGGTGGCCCGGGTTCGATCCCGGGTCTAGTCAAGTTGGATTTGTGGTGGATGAAGTGGCGCTGGGGCAGGTTTTCTCCAAGTACTTCGGTTTCCCCTACCAATCTTCATTCCACCAATTGCTCCACAATCACCCTCACCAATCATCTGGGGCTGGTACAATAGGCCAGAAGTGGCTGCAGAACAAGGGACTTAGTCCCACCTCACTAGCAATAAAAAAAACTTCTTTTTCTAAATATTTTAAAACCTTACATTATACTATGCAGCACCATGTTCTTTGCTGCTAAAAACAAAGTTAATTCCATTAATTTGTCATAAAAATTGTGTTAGATACAGTATTTTTAAATACAATGTAAGTGTTAGGAATTGACATTTAAACGCAGAGCAGCAACAGGCATTTAAACAAGTACAAGCATCGGGCATTTAAATAAACTCCGGGCAACTGAAGCTAACGCCATGTTAAAAGTCCAGCATTTATGTTAACTGCTGATGGAGAATTATATGATATTGAAGGAACAACAGGTGAGATTCCTCAAATTAGTTTGCTGGACATATAGTCACCTGAGAACTATGTCTATTAAAGAAAATTTTGGGAACTAGGTTTGAAGTTAGGGACTCAACTGCAGTTAAAATGTGGCTTATAACAAAACACATTCTGAAATATCACACTTGCAATTAAGGTAAGCCTATGGAAATGTGTGTAATATGTGAAGATAATGAAACACAGTATGAATAGTTGGAAAAGTTTATGATAAATGTTGATAAAAATATTTATTACTTTATGAATCAATCACTTTTCAAGCTTCCTTTCATTTTTATATAAAATAAATGTTGATAGGTTTGCCAGAATAGCTCGGTAAATACAGTAAATTAGGCTAAATTCTTGATGATTTGGAATATGAGTTTGATTCATGATAGAGGAAGGTATTTTCTCTTCCTTACTGTGTCCAGACCAACTCTACAGCATGCACAACCTCCTAACCAGTGGGTACCAAGGGCTATTTCCTTATGGTTAAGCAAATGAAGCATAAAATTGACTAGTGTGCTGTATCTAACACGAAGACTAAGAATGTATGTTGTTACACCCCCACTCTCTGTGGCATGGCACTTATTCAGTATAGGGACTTCACATTTATAGCATTGCCAAGAAGTATTTTTTTACACATGTTGAACAAGATTTTTCAGGGTAGTTTTGCATCTCTCTGTTACTCCACGCAGGAAGGTTCATGATTTGGAGGAGCTTCATATATATGTATAAAGTCAAAAATGGGGAAACTGACTGCCTGTTAATGCTCCTCTCTTCCAGAGGCATGGATTGGAAGTGCTTGTATTTTCCACAGTGATGGTGGTGGTCCTGTTGTTTTTCTGCATACTGTCAATGTGTCGCTCCAAAGAAACACGCGATCGTATGGCAGCAGCTGTTACCTCATCACAGGCACCTCATTCTGTAAACTCACATCAAGAACAGACTCAAGTTCATGAGATGGAAACTGCTTCCAGTGAGGACACAGGTTTGGGCCAGATTGTAGATCAGTCCAGCACTGTCGTCCTTACACCCACTTCAGGTCTGCCTCAAGCTTCAGATCTGCCACCTCCTTATGACATTGCAATACAGCTGCCTCATCAGATGCAAAACATAGAAACAGTGCAAGTGGATGACGAATCACCGCCACCATCATATGATAAGGCTGTCAGTTAGAATTTGAAGTGAAAGCATTGGATGGATTACAGTGATAATAAGGGAAATGTGAAAGCTATTGACAGACTATAATTTATGAAATAATTTAAGGCTGTGCATTTGGGGATTTGCTATAATGTATTATTTTCAATCAGTAAGTTTTCCATGATGTAGCTAAATTGAGTTAGAAATAATATTGAGAATTCATGGTTTTTTCAAACTGTGTATACAGTTACAATTTTTTAAACTACATCAGTTACTATTTTTTAATCTATCAGGATTAAAATAAGTATAAAAGTATACTGCAATAACATTGCAACTCACAGTGCTCTTGTATTCAATGCCATTTAATCCATCAAACTTCTGACATAAGTAAAATTAAATTCTGTCATCTATCTCAAAATAGAACTTCCAAGGTTTAAATATAGTTAGTACACTCTGTCTAAAACATCTCTGAGGATATATAATGCCTCAAGGAGGCAAGAAAAATCCTGTTGTATTCAATTAGATCTCTCATACGGTGCTCCTACGTATCATGGATTATTGATTAACTAACTGCATGGAGCTGAGTCCTTTTTCAGAAGCAACCAGTTGCTCAGCTACTCCAGAATTTTCCAACATTTTGTGGAACCCGAAGGTATATAACCATGTCTATAAGAGCCCTCCACTGGTCTCTATCCTGCACCACATCAATCTAGGCCATGCCACCCCATCGTATATCTCTAAGATCCATTTTAGTATTATCCTCACACTTATGTCTAGGTCTTCTTAGTGGTCTCTTTCAATCTGGATTTCCCATAAAATCTTTGTATACATTCCTTTTGTCGCCATGTATACTACATGCCCTGCCCATCACATCTTTCTTCATTTGATCATTTTAATCATATTCAGTGAAGAGTACAGGTTATATAGCTCCTCATTATGCAATTTTCTCAGACCTCCTACTGTTTCATCCCTCGCTCTTTATTACTTGCACAATCTAATACCAACCTTCACAAATTCTGTACCATATTTACATCTTTACATAATGCTGATTCTGGTGCATCCTCAAAGGTGTTTCAGTCAGAGTACAGTGATGTGATGTTCACCATATGCAAATGTGTATAAACATGATTGCAGAGGCTTGTGTTCTGTTACTGTGTTCCATAACAGAGACTTCTCTCATAGCAAACATGAAACTAGGGAATTACTATGAGAAAAGATATGAAGCATTCCTTCAACTGTAATAATTGTTTCTAATGCTATTGTTATAGTGGACTTTACACTGAATGTTACAAATGATTTTATTAATCTAAAATGTGGTGGTTATATACACATACAGAGTACTAAAGATGATTTCATCTTTGTGAAAAGAGCCAATTCTGGTTTTGAACCTTCTTTACTGTAGTCAAGTGATGTGAGACATTAAGAAGACAAGTTAACTTCCAATGAGAATTGTTAGGGAGTGTTACAGGCTGGATTAAACCACTGGTTACTGATGATATAAAAGTGTCAAGTATGATGCCAGTGAGTTTATTGGCTACAAAAATGAAACGTGTGGACTCCTAGGATGGTATATATTATATTACCTATCATACTAAAATAAGAAGCTTCAAAATTCATCGTAACCTTCAATCAGCTGAGTTTAAATTCAACTGATTACTGTTAATTTATTATTGGAATTGTACATACTCGCATTTCCTTTGAATGAATTATATAAATGTGTGGAACTGTGATTTTTATGATTATTATCTGACTCAAACGTGAAGCACAAATGTTCAATGCCTTCCAAGATGCTAAGACATCCAAAATGGCATCCATTTACAAAACTGTTGTTTAATCATTTTTTAATTCTGTATTTTCCTAAACTCTTTTCTTACTATTTTAAGTGTGCTTATATTCTACAAACAGCCACTGTACTTCTCTGTGTCTATCTACTGTATTTCTAACTATAAGGTGTTGTGAAAATTCTTATTAATCTTATAAAATTTAGGAAATTAAATCTGAAAATATGCTTCTGTTCATTTACTAAAAAATAATGTGGTACTCCTGCCAGCCTGACACCATATCATGATTTGAAACTGGTGTTAACCCTTACACTGCCAAGTCCCACCATTGAGCTCCCTGCTAGAAATGTCAAGGTTGCTTGGAGTAAATGCAGTTGCACAGATCTTACAACATTGTCTCAAATGATACAAGTGTGGATCATGTGAAAGCCTGTTCTTTCTTCTAAACACTGGTATGTCATACTTAATGCCATCTACTGACAGATTTGCTCTACTAGTTGATAAACAAGGAGCCAATCTCTTTAGCTGTGGCAGTTTTAATGCAAGTAATCTTAAGTGACCTAATCAACTCTTGAAATGCAAACGGTAAATTACATAATTATTTTCTCTAATTTAGCTAAAAATAATGTTCATATTATTATATTTCAGTATCCTGTTGCATTGAGATATCATTTGTAGTCTTGTTTTCCATCTATAATGCAACAATTTAAATTTTAATCAACACTAAATCACATTTAATTCACTAAATTGTTCATGAAATATTTAAAATGTCATTAAAATATAAATGTACATTCAATGTTTGTGCTACATATTTGCCACACAGGGCCATCTTCAGGTAACATGTTTTTAAGGTGTCTACTGCACTGTGCACTTGGTCAAATAGTACTCTTAAGGAACATTGCTGTTATCATTAATTTTTATGGTGTAGGACGTTTCCTTCCTTCCTTCTGTATTGTGGCCGTTTGTGTCCCGTTGACTGTGCCACTCGCTTGGTTGTGTGCATTTTGTGTTCCTTTGTGTTCCTTGTACAATACAAAACATAGGAAGAACACATCCTACATCATTAAAATTAATGATAACAACAGCAATGTGCCTTAAGAGTACTATTTGGCCAGGTGCACAGTGCAGTAGACTCCTTAAAAACCTGTTGCCTGAAGATTGCCCTGTGTGGCTAAACATGTAGCATGAACACTGAATGTACATATGTACATATTTTAATGACATTTTAATGTTGTGCTCCAGGTTATTAATGGGTATGCTTTATCCTAACAATGGGTCAAATTTATGTTTTATTAATTAGAAAATAATTATAAGTTTTATAAATTTAAATACGTCGGGTGAACCACAAGTTGGAAACCCACCAGTAGCCAGAGTTGAGATGCCGTACATTCTTTAGCCATCCGGTGTCAGTTATACAGTCTATAGAAATTGCTGACAAATTAAGTGACGACACGAGGCAAGTCTCGCCACTGCACAGTTTGCTGACTTTATAGGTTTCGCGCGAGCAGCTTTCCGTGATGTTGAATTTTGAGGGGCTCAAACAGGAGGAGCCGCGAACACTTTGACTTTAAGAGTCACTCAGAACAGTCGCATGGTAGGAAGGTGACGCGATGGAGTCAGATGACTTCCTCTTTTATAAGCGTGAGTACTTGCCTGTGTTTGGATCACTGATGGTTGTCAATATATGATTCTGGTTCAATGATTTTGGTTGATTAATGGGTTCTTAGGATAAAATTGGTTAAATTATTTTAGCGTATAAACCTTGGAGTGTAACAGAGTAATTCTGATTTAATGAGTGATGGTTTAGATACAAGTATCTGGTTTAGTAATTAAGTTTGTGTGTATCATTTGGATTGTTAATTGTTGGTTAAATGATTCACTATTGGAGTACAGAAATTTGGTTTACGCCATGCAAGTTTAGTAGACTAGGGGTAGTAAGGTTTAAGATGTAACTGCAATGTGTGTAATCACAGACAGTGTGTGTTAACAGGCTGTACATATACAATTGTTGATTTAATTATATTTGTTCTTATTTTAACATGTTTAGCGTTTATTTGGGTATTAGTAATAAAAAATTCATTGATCGGGGTAGAAGCTATCCACTGATGGAAATTAGGTGGGACTTTCTAAATTTTTATGGTGGTGGCGGTAAGATATAAAAAGAAATTTTTGTGTCGCAATCGTTGTGGCACAACATTAAACACTGAACAAAAATTTTAGTGAATGAAATGTGATTTAGTGTCAGTTAAAATGTTGCATTATAGATTTATCTCCCTCTGTGGTCCAGTGGTCAGAGTTCCTGGCTACCGATCCAGAGGTCCGGGTTCGATTCCCGGCACTATCAGATTTTCTGAGAAGTAGTGGGTCGGGAACAGTGTCCACTCAGCCTCATGATGATAATTGAGGAGATATTTCTAGGAAACAGCGGCTCTGCTCTAAAAACCGAAATTAACGGCTGTGGGGATTCGTTGTGCTGACCACATGACACCCTCTATCCACTAAAAGTTAGCACTAACTTTGCCAACATGCAGCAGTCACTCGGTTGGTCGATATAGTTCACTTGCAGACTAGAACCACAGAGTTTTTTCGTTTGTTTGGTGCATTACAGATGGAAAACAACACTACAAATTAAAATAGTGTAATTATAATTCTTCAACTCTGCATCTCAACAGTAAATTTAAATAAAGGGTTATATAAAAATAAGACGAATTCAAGACTAAGTGCATTCGTGTTGATGTAGAACATGAATTGTATTTCATGAATGTATATGAAGAGACTTCTGTTAGTCATCTTTGTTCTACAGCAGATCTTGAAATGAACAGCTGCTCAGCATTTAGCTCACCCTTCTTTCATGAAGGATATAGGACTACAATACCATTGATATTTTTAGTGCATAAAAGAATTGAATTTGTCAACAACAAATCTATATAAATACTGGAATGAGCCATTTTTGACAAACTCAACTTAACAAGTGATGACTAAAGTCTGCAAGAAATAGCTGGCATGGGGAAAGACTATATTGACTCCCGAAAGATTTAATCTGTCAAGCTATGGTTGTCTAAGCTGAAAGAATTATATAAGCAATGCAATGCTGAAATGCCTTGCCAACTATCTCATCATGAGCGAAGAAAATGAAAATAGCAGAAATAGATTATCAGATAAAATGGTTCCAGCACTTAGGAATGATCTAAAATTTTCTATCACAAGAACATTTATAAATATAAACTCAAGAAAGTGTCCTGGGACATCTATTCACGTAATAGAAATATAATTTGGCATATTTTAAAATTAGAGGAGTTTTTAACAGCTTTCAAAGTTAAATTTTAAAAATTCTTGAATATTTAAATCTTGATAGTTTTGCCACTAGCCAGAACCAGCATTCAGCTTTACACAGCTGCGCTTATTCAAGCTAAACTGAAGTAAACTCATACCTTTCAATAACCTCTATATTATATGCCAATAAGTGCTATAGTATAGGAGAAATTTAGAGGATATCCATGTTTAATTTTGTAGACTCTTCAGGCGTTCATAATGAAGGAAGACTGAAATTTATACCAGTAGCTAATGGCATGAATAAAACTGTTCTATTTTGCCACAACCAAGACAACCCTGCTTTATTTTTAGTTATGAATTTTAAGCGTGTCAGTATCAGATGCACTTCCCTTTCTAACTATAATTCATAGCAACTTACATTATTTTCAGCAGGGAAATGGAGAATGCAATTACATTTGGAACAATCTGTGAAACTTCCTGCTTTACAGCTATATGTATTAAAAAGCAAATCTACATAATTATAGAGTCATAAATTATGACAAAATTTAGAAGAAAGATATGAACTATAATGAAAAATTATTCACGAATATCATCATATAACTACTCTACAAATTCATATATTTCAGAGGTTTGATTCCAGTACAGACAAATATGAAACACCCTATAATATGAAGAATATTTATCTTCTGGGATATAACACCGTGTAATCGGCATAAGCTCACTGACACTTTGGAGAAACATACTGCCTCCATCTTCAGGGTCAAAGAGTGAGCCAGGCAAGTAGCTTACAAGAAGCAGGCATAAAGCACTTCACTGGCTACCTACTTCTTTTTGGCTCATTCATGAACCCTTAAGATGGAGGAATTACATATCTCCAAAATGTCAGTGAACTACTACTGGGCTATACAGTCTTATATCCCAGAATATGGTACTCATCATAGTTACAGTCATGAGAACATCAGATTCAACTATTTAATACACTCATTTTTTTATATCATGTAGCATCTATTCTGTGTTTTTTACAAAATATATCATTACAAGTGCTAGTGTACCCTACAGTGAAAAAGACTTGAATAGAAAACGATTTATGGTCATAATCTGGACTTCAGGATCTAGTAAATAATTTTTTAATGAGATTTAGACATCAGATTGTGGTCTTCTGAGATGAAGCACTATGTCTTATAGGCTGATACCAGTATTTCATAGGTACATGCTATCTCCATCTTCAGTGTTGAAGTGGCACAAGTTTGTCTAAAATGTTGGAATGAACATATGAGCCCACACTTTGTCACAACCCAGAAGACCAGGATCTTAACATTCACTGCAATCAAAACCTCAAATCATATACATGTCTGAAAGGTTGCACATCTTCCTTTCCCATTCAGTTTCAAGTCTGGTGACAGTAGTTAAGTACTGAACTGTTTCTACAGACTGTACAAACAGATTTCAATTCATGAAAAGATCTGTCAATACATGTGTACCTTCAGAAATTTCTGTAACTTCTGACCATGTATTTTATAGAAATATTGAAATATTTGTTGTTTATTTATAAATGACTTTGAATGGTTTCATGATTCCTTCAAATATATTATATGCTCGCAGTGATGAAATAAATAATTTACCTGGTTACTGAAATTTGATTTACAATGTGAAGTAGAGAAGAGTGGTGTCAAATCCAATGAAAATGTATGATATAACTTAACAATAAACAACAGAGGGATACGATTGTATGGCCATGACCATGAAATTTGTAATCACAGAGTGAAATATTACCAAGTAATGGCAAATGGTCCATAAGACATCAAGGTCAGCCCTCCCTCATAAAACAACAATGGCAAAGTGCACCATCTCCAGTAAATGGAGAAATCAGAAACTGGTAACCTTCAAACATCATAAATTTAATGTACTCCATTTATTCTAAAGGCACATAAAATTCAGAAGAACATGACC